TTAAGTGGGAGAACTTGCACAATTGGTGGCTGACTAAATACTTTTTTGCTCCACTGTACATGCATTTCTGCAAGAAAAAGGCTTTCTCTGGAGCTATTATGATGGCAGATTGCTCCTGGAAAAGATCAAATAAGAATCAAAGGAATCTCCCCCTGGAATTGAGATTAGGCAGCAGAGGCAGTGCTTGACAAAGGAAAAGTCAAAGGCTGGGAATTAAGTAAGGCAGTGAGTAGGCAGCAAGGAGGAATCAGTAAGAAAAGTGAATAGGTAGCAAGGAGGAATGAGTAAGAAAAGAGGCAGTGAGTGTTTGGGCTAAAGGCATTCATAGGTTTTCCAATAAAGACTGCAGAATCTCAACAACTCTGAGATTAGGTAAGGGTAGGAGAGAAAACAAGAGGTTCATCCTAAGAAGCGAAAAGAAATCACAAAGATTCTAGGTAGCTTGACTCCTGTTATAACTATGTGACAAAAGACAGACTGTTAAGGACAAAAGGGATGAGGCATTCTGGTGCTATTTTGAACGGTTTGACCCAGTAGGAGGGTGAGGCACTTTAATGGATTATTTTTCCTGCTGCTGCTCTAGATTAATCAGTTCAAAGTTTCTTCTACTAGATGAGTGGATATTCCGAGTCATCTCTGTAAGAATTTTCTAGGTTCTGACATTTCTTTAGGAAATTCCCTTCAATTTAATTAGTGCACATCTCTCCTCACTTCAGTCATAATGTAATTATTTGAGCAACTGCAAATCTAATTCCTGACATTTCTGCTAAATTATTCTGGCTCACCTTTTCCAGAAAAAAAAAAATGCAAAAATTGAATTGGAAAAAAACAAAATATAAACATCCATGGAACAGAGAGCCAGGCCATCTAAATTTTTCTATAATGCCTGTCATTATGGCACTGGCCACGCTGGCTAGGGGTGTTAAAATGTTAATATTAATGGTCCAAATCATCTGGAGGGTACCAGGTTGAAGTAATAAAATGGTCAAGGCAAAAGAATTGTGGGTATATTTGATCTAGGGCACTGTTGTCCAAACTTGGCCACTTTAAGATGAGTGGACTTCAACTCCCAG